TCTTATGAAACTTTTGATAAAGTCCCAACACTTATTCAAACTCTTCTCCAAACTCCAAACACTTCTCTTTTCATATTAGTTACTGATGAAGATGTTTTTCAAAAAGTTACAAAAGTTGGAGCTTTAGAACAAAAATATTCCAAAATTCCTCTGTTCCCATTTAATAAAAATAAAATTTTGAAAAAGAAATCTCAATATAGATTAAAATTTATTGACAGATAATATCTGTCAATAAATTTTGTAATAATATCTGAGATATTAAACTTTATCTAAAAATCTATAGACGTTTAGAATGTAAAAGTTACAGCCTAGTAATTTATTTTGGGGAAAAGAAGATGTATTCTTTTCATGGTCACTTATAATTAACAATTAAATGCGAATTAGTACGTACGTATGCTTATTTTATTATCGATTTAAATTCTAATTAAATCAGTTATCTTATTGGAACTTTGCTCATTGGTTACCTAGTGGACCAATAGTGGCATTCACTACAAGTGGCCAGCCGATGACCTTCCAACATGTAAGATAGTAGCTTGTCATCGGCTACCCGCCTTTGACTGGTTGTCACTAATGGTTCACTAGGTAACCAATGAACAAAATAGAGAACCACTCAAAATGCCTATATAGCTCCACTGAAATTCCGAAGAGATAATTTTTATAGAAAACATGATGTAATTAAAAGCTTAATCATTCACGCATTGTTTTTAGTTGTCAGACAGTTATAATTGGTTTATTAAAATATAAATTTTACAAAAGCTTAGACGAGGACTAAACTAAATCCAAATATATGTAGAGCTCGAAGATTCAAGGTGTGCAATTGCACACTTATGAATTCTCTATGGGGTGGTTATACTTACTTTTTTTCCAAGCAAACACATTAAGTTTAAAAGACGCTTTATTAAGACGTTGAGCTTTTGTTGGGTTATTAAATATAATTTAATAATCTAATCTGTTAAAAAATTAATTTTGTAAAAACATTAAAAGATTTTAACTTAAAATCAAGAAAAAGTTTAAAAATGTATATAAATAAAGAAGCACGTATTTAAAAAATATCGAGCGTCGCATTGTAACGCACTGTAAACCATGGAGACCGCCATTTTAAACCATGGAGACCGCCAGGTCACTCAATCAAAATTATTAGTTATTGTTTGCAGTTATTATTACTTATTATTAGTTTAGTATTGGTTTAGTATTAGTTTAGTATTAGTTTAGTATTGATTTGTGTATTAGCTTAGTATTGGTTTATATTTGTCATGAAAATCTTTACAAATTTAAAATTGTGTGATAAAAATGTTAAAACTGAGTATTAAAAGTTTCTAAATAAACCAAAAAAGTTATTGAAGTATTGGTGAGGTTTAAGCTAAAATCCTCTCTAAAAAAAACTAACATCAAATGATACAATGATATGATTAGGGCCGGCGCGAGGAGGGGTCACGTAGGGGGGTGCCATTACAACTTTTGCCATCTAAAAAAAAAAAAAAAAAAAAAAGGTCCTTCGTTTTTAAAAATTTACAGACTGCCATAACGACATTTGCCGACTGACTTTACCGACCAACCTATCAACAGGGTCTACATTTGCCGACTAACTAGTCAAAAAGGGTCACATTTGCCGACTAAGGGTCAAATTTGCCGACTAAAAGTCATTGATGGGGGTGTAACACCCCCCACACACCCCTATCGCGCCGGCCTTGGATATGATGCAATGATACAATGATATGATGCAATAATACAAATGATACAATGATACAAATAACTTTTTAAAATATTTCAGAATTGAATTGGTAAAAAAAAGAACAATACTAGTCCAATATTTTTATTTCGAGACAATCAATGTTTAATTTTCAAACAGTTTTAGTTGGGCAAAAATATATGGCAAAAAATAATGAAAGAAAGATAAACTAGTATTATTTTAGTAGTACATTAGAGAGATCGACATAAGTTCATTGAAATTATAAAAAAAAAGTGCAAATAACAAAAAATGGGCTAGTACTGTTCTTCTTCTCACTTCTTCTTCAGCTTTTTTCTTCTCACTTATTCAGCTTTTTCAAAAAAATTGCTTTTAAAGCTATATTTTTCCGAAAGTTTTGTAGAATAAAATAGGGTAATTTCGCCATCAATTCTTTAAATTTAAATAACTTAAAGAACCAAAAATACTAATAGAAAAATATTTGTATTATTATTAAAAAAAATTTTTAACTTCAAACATTTAAGAAAAAAAAGAAATTTTTTCATTTATAAGAAACGGTTTGCAAAATACCTTATTTGCGAATTTAGCCCAATAAATCTATGTTGGGGTAATTTCGCCACCTTAATTATTTACAACAAAAAATTTATTTACAATTTTTTTTTACTTTTTAAAGCCCATCTACAATCAGTTTTATAAAAGCAATGCTAAATAAGAGGGAAAAAAAATTTTAAAACCATCATTAAAAAAAAAAAAAAAAAAAAATTTAGTTTACAAACTATATACATAAGAGATTGTTTAAAAACTTAATAATGTCTAGATTTTACTGAGCAATAAAATTTCACTGAATTTTTTTTTGGGTCGAATTTTTTTTTAAAACTCAACTTTGACCAGAGCTTTTTTCACACTTCAACCAAAGATTTTACTGATCAGTTGTGGCGATATTGAATGGCTTTTGACATTTTGCTTTGGTGCATTTTTTCTCTTCTAAATTTGAATTTCTTTTACGTCGTGCTCAACTTCTTTATTTTTTATTACTCTCAACCGTTACTTTGCTTTGCTTTATTATTTGTTTTGGTTTTTGGCTTGATTTTTCGTTTCTGGATGTTCTTTTGCTACCTTTACTCGTTCATAATTTTAACGTAAGGCGGCCGTGGCGTAGTGGTTAGAGGACTTGCTTTAGAAGCAGGAGATCCAGCTTCGAAACAAACTCTGGACATATTTTCAGATCACGGTAAGGAAGGAGGCGTGAACTTCCTAATTAAATGCACATCCGCGGTACTCTGTGACAAGGCGGTTAGGTCTTCTTGGGGTACCTAAATAACAAATTTAAAAAAAAAAAAAAGATGATTCTTATTAACGCATTTACCTTCGACAAAAATTTTGATTCTCTTTTTAGGCTTTTGATTTTGATTTTTTATTTGCAGGTACATTATGAGATTCTCTTCAAATACTTGGCTCGCCAATTGAGGAGTGATGACTGATGGTAGTTGAGATGCTGTTGATGGAGTTGCTGGTGCTATTTATGAAGACTTTGATGAAGTTGCTAGTGCTATTTGTGATGACGTTGATGGTGTTGCTGATGGTGGTATTGGTGCTAGTGGATTGTATAGCTATGAAATCTTGAGTTTCTTTCTATAGACTGCGTTTTCATTTAATAGACAAAAACCACTTCAAAACCACTGACTGCATGTGATCTTTTATGTGAAAGCTCTAATGAATGTTTTTTCGAAAGAAAGAGAGGAAACGTCGGTTCATCAACGCTTCTAAAACCAGTTTCTTCGTAGTGTTATTTAAGAGTTACTTGCCAAACATTTTTAACGTGACAGTAAACGCCTGAATCGAGTGGAATGAAAAATGTTGTAGAATGGACAGGTAATATTATTATTTCCATGTAATTCTCTCAACATAGTTGAATCGCTGCTATAAAAATATGACTTAAATGACCATCAGCTTCTAAAACTATCCGGCAATTGGAATTTTCATTTTTAAAAGGATTGAACACAGATTTAATCCATTGTACAAATTGATCTTTCTCCATCCAACCAGAAGGAGACACAGTGTAGCACGTATCAGAATGTACACCAATACTCCATTAAGCCCGAAAATGTTTTTCTTTGTAGATAAAAAAAGGTGGCAAATATTCACCTTTGGCATTGCATCAATTATATGATGTTGCCTTGCTCCTCTTTTAATTTAGACTGTGTTTTAAAATATATAATACTAAAAATATATCACAATTTTATAGAATACAAAAAATATGATTGCAGGGTATCATTAATATTAAAAGAACGTGGGAAACTTGCAGAAGACCAGATGGTCTTGTCATCAAGAAACCGCTTGTAAATGTAATATTTTTTGTATTTTTGTTTTACAATGTACCTAGTTTCACAAAATACTTCATTTTATATTAGGTTTAGATATAATAAAATGTAGAAATAAAAAAGTTGGTAAATACTGTTTGTAGTACACATAATACACATAAATATATTATTAGACATAAATATAATTATTATTGACTTATTTTGATTTTTTATATTAATATATATTATTGAAGTTTTTTGGATTTTGTTTTCAATTATAATTTTGGTTTTACTTTCAGTTTTAGTTTAGTGAAAGTTCAAATAATTGCTGATATTTAAAACGAACTTTTTTAGTAAGATTTTCAAACAATTTATGTTATCTAATTTTGTAATAATGGCATTTTTGGATATCAGTTTATTATAGAGATAGGGACCGCGATATGAAATTGTGAAACGCGACAGTTTTGTTTTTCTGAACGGTACATTAAAGTTTTCTACTTCTCTTGTGTCATATCTATTTTTATTGCTTTTAAAAAATTCATTTAAGAAATGTGGTGGGACAAGCCCAAGTTTAAATTTTAGCATGAAGAGTAAGTTTTGGTAAATGTTAATTCTATAGACGTTTAGTGCATTTAGGAGTTTAAACAAAAGTTCAGCATGAGTGAGTTTATCTTTTTTATAAACAATTCTAATGGCATGGTTTTGATGTTGATAAAGTTCTTTTAAATTAGATTTATGGGTACTGGCCCATACTATATTACCATATGTATAATAGGTATGTATAAATGAAAAATAAAGATGTTTTAGATTTTCTTGGGATAACATTGGTCTAGCTTTGTATAGCACGCCAATGTTTTTGGTTATTTTAGTATTTAAATAGTCAATATGGACTTTCCATTAAATATTTTGATCAATAAGTAAACCTAGGAATTTAGTTGTTGTGGTTCTTTCGATATTTTTGTTTTTTATTCTTAGCAATGGCAATATATTTGGTAGTTTTTTTCTTTTTTGAT